GAATAGGTCTTCAGCAACCCACGCTTGGCGTGAAAGGCGACTATATGCTTGTCGTAAGAGGCTACTATAAGGCGACTAATGGGATCAGGTGGTCAGGCCCGCTGACTTGCTTGATGCATGTCACCGATCCCAATTGCCTGGATCGATGCTCTCTATCTCACTGCTCAACTCGACTTTCTCTTTCTTTATCTCCAATGTACTCGTCTTTCCCTTTCTTTATCTCCAAAGCAACTCGTCTTTCTCATTCTTTATCTCCAATATCAATTCGTCTTATCTCCAACGTCAACTCGTCTTTCTCATTCTTTATCTCCAACGTCAACTCGTCTTTCTCATTCTTTATCTCAAATGTCAATTCGTCTTTCTCTTTCTTTATTTCCAACGTCAACTCGTCTTTCCCTTTCTTTACCTCCAACGTCAACTCGTCTTTCCCTTTCTTTACCTCCAACGTCAACTCGTCTTTCTCTTTCTTTATCTCCAATGTCAACTCGTCTTTCTCTTTCTTTATTTCCAACGTCAACTCGTCTTTCCCTTTCTTTACCTCCAACGTCAACTCGTCTTTCTCTTTCTTTATCTCCAATGTCAACTCGTCTTTCTCTTTCTTTATTTCCAACGTCAACTCGTCTTTCCCTTTCTTTACCTCCAACGTCAACTCGTCTTTCTCTTTATCTCCAATGTCAACTCGTCTTTCTCTTTCTTTATTTCCAACGTCAACTCGTCTTTCCCTTTCTTTACCTCCAACGTCAACTCGTCTTTCTCTTTCTTTATCTCCAATGTCAACTCGTCTTTCTCTTTCTTTATCTCCAACGTCATCTCGTCTTATCTCCAATGTCAACTCGTCTTTCCCTTTCTTTATCTCCAACGTCAACTCGTCTTTCTCTTCCTTTATATCCAACGTCAACTCGTCTTATCTCCAACATCAACACGTCTTTCCCTTTCCTTATCGCCAACGTCAACTTGTATTTCTTTCCCCCTTTTCTCGAATCACTCTGAGAATCACCTGATCCAAGTTGAACAACCTTTTTATGCAATCCGTTCTCCGTGGAAATGAACCATATAAAACATCAGGATGTATAGTAATGTGTTGCTCAAATATCGCATGCAAAAACAATCCCTACAGACTTCAATCATTGAAATCCGATTCTTCGCCGGAAATTCCTTCACACCAATGCATATCAAACGACTCCCCGGAGATAAATTAACACTGTTTTAACGCCTGGCACGTTTCCGCGCATTAATATCTTTGTACAAATAGCTATGTGAACGTGTCAGTGGTAGCAATGATCGCTCTGGTTATCAGTTTAGTGAATCACCTTCGAGCTCTGAAAAATTAAGGATCACCTGCCTTGGTGATGGAGTTTCGACGTTATTTCACGAAATACAGATAATTTCGTGTTTCGTGTTGATTATTTTTATATAACCCATAGACTGTTTTCTCCTGACGAAATAAAGAAATACAGTAAACTACGGTTATAACGAACTCGAAGGGACCACTAACTTTAGTTTGTTATAACCGAAGTTCGTTATAAGCATATATACAGCATAACAATAGCAAATAGTCGGGGCCAAAGAATCAGTTCGTTTTATCCGTTTGTTCGTTATAAGCGTGTTCGTTATAAACGTACTTTACTGTGTATGTGTTTCCCGGGCACAAGAAAGACATCAGGGCCCTCCTGCACAAAGCGATCTTAGCGTTACGGCTATCGTAAGTCTATCTTAAAGTATGGGAGTTACGATCGTCGTTAAGATCGCTTTGTGCAAGAGGGCCCTGGTCAGTCGCATTCGTGACCATCCCGTGTTATTCCGCGACAAGCCGAATAGCGACTCGTGCCCCTCTTGTGCATTCGTGACCAACTCGTGTTATTCCGGGACAAGCCGAATAACGACTCGTGCCCCTCTTGTGCATTCGTGATCAACTCGTGTTATTCCGGGACAAGCCGACTTACGGAAAGAGGCGAGTGGTGACGAATGCCTCTTGTGGCCGAGTTTGCGACTGGCTTCCGTCTATGCGCAAACGGGCATAGCTGAAAGAATTGTCATATCGTTGCGTAATGAGTGACATATATTTTCCATATATCATATATATTCCAGATGCTATTGATAACACATCGGGACTTACAGTATTATACAGTATGACTGAACACATTTAACTGTAAATCATTTTTTGGTATATTTTTTAAATACAAGATATAAGTAAAATAAAAACTTGTTCCTGAGGGATTCTTTGACCGAAGTACGTGAAGTCATACGCGCATTCTGATTGGTTGGTCGTATTTTCGCATATAACATTCATCGACAGGGGGTTGGGGGCGAGTCTTCTTGTAGGTTACGGAAAGGAGTGAGTGGTGACGAATGGTTCAGTCGGCCTGTAACGATGTGACGTCACGAACAATGGATGACGTCAACTTTAATGTCACAATACTTTGATATGATGTCACGAAGATATGGACTTCTTCGCAAACAATTTTTTAAAGGACAATTGGAACGAACTGACCAATCAGCTCGAATCAAAATGTATAATGCTCTGCGAGAATAAAGGAATTAATTTCACCCATATTCGTACCCCTGTGTGTTAAAATAGCACAGATACTGACACTATAGTAGTCTATATATATATTGTCAACTCTTAGAAATACAAATTTTAGAAATAAAATTCAACAATAATAACTTCACAGACTGCATGACTGCATTTGTAATCTGCAACAAAATAAAAATAAAAGAGCGTCAACGATACGAATTCACTGACATCGTTCAGCGCAATGATACAACACAGGCCCCTCCCACATATAATATCAGCCAATCAGATAAGAGTAGTCTACAAGTTGGGATGGCCTATTCTTTGTCGGTTTATGGAAGGATAAACGTAGAATAATTGCTTCGTTAGCCAATCAAATGGACTTATTTTATTAGTCTGAGGACGATTCTATTCGGTTCGTTACCGATACAGTTTGGCATAATATCTTACTCACTTGAGATTTGGGGCGGTCGGGTAGCCTTGTGGTTAAAGCGTTCGCTCGTCACGTTCGATTTCCGACATGGCTACGATGTGTGAAGCCCATTTCTGGTATCCCCCGCCCTAATATTGCTGGAATATTGCTAAAAACGGCGTAAAACCAAACCCAATCACTCAATTGAGATTTCGGTATGCATATTTTAAGATAAACATACTCGACAGAGACGAGATTTGATTTTACCACAAACTCAACCTAAAAAAATTATACAAACCTTGTAGACCCAAATCGATAATATTTATTTTGCCATTTTTATTCGACCTTAATATAACAAGTGTAGGATCACGACCAAATAAACAATCCTTCCATTAAGTAACGCACGAGAATGTTCCGAATGTACACACGGCAAAAACCAAAGAGACATGCACCTGAAAACAGTTGAACAGATTCGAGTGTATGCGTGACCGCCATTGCATAATTGTAGTGTCCTTTGTGCCCAAGGGCGGCACAGTGGGATTTGAGCAGTGTTTCCGTTCCACCAAGGAATGTCAGCTGAATGTCGGGAGGAAAACCCGAAGTGATGTAATTCGTGATCAACAACACCCACGACTAGTGTTAACATGTAAAAGGTCATAATTATATATGGCAGCTAAATGGCAAACCTCAGCAACAAGTGGCGTCTTAAATACATCACCAGTGCGCAGTGATGAAGCACCCAGTGAGTAGGGCGTGGTGTTGACATACCAAAGCTTATAATCTGGAGGAAGCTTGATTTCCAACAAACGTCAAGCAGACACCTTCGAAATGTGTTCAGACAAAATACCTTGAGGTCAAAAGTGTACAGATATCGATAGGTTTTGTCAATTAATCTACATGCAGCGTCCCTGATAACAATAGTGAGTGAGTGAGTTGGGTTTAACGCCGCTTTTAACATTATTCCAGTTATATCACGGCGTGTCAGCTTAATGAGGGAGGACAGCCCGAAGTGATGCAGGTCTCAGACGTTTACCACTTCGGTGAAACCCACGAGCACGGGTATGGTGCTGACAAACATAGAAATATTATTAGGGATTCGCACCCACAATCATAGGTTTCTGGCGTGCCCAAGGGACGCAACTCTGCACAGCGAATCGCGGCGCCTTTGACGACTGGGCCCCCCGTGCCCCCCGTGCAATAACATGTTAAATACAAATTAACACATTATGGATGTACTGAATACTACATCAACACCGTTTGGACGTTTATCGTGTTCAATTTAACAAATATTTGAGCTTAATGAATTCGTAAATGTTACTTTAAGCCGCATCAACAAACTTGTGGCTTATTCATAAGAAACACAACAACATAAAATACATGGTTTTACATATTCGGAGCAAACCGGGATTCGAACCCACGATCATAGGTTTCTGGCGTGTCTAAACGACTGGGCCACCCGTGCACCTGTTCAATATTGATTCCACTAGTCAGCTGAACCAACTGAGTTTAAACATTCGACTTATAGATTTGTAGTAAGTGAGTGAGTATGGTTTTACGCCATATTCCAGCAATATCACGACGGGACAACAGAAATGGGGGGCGGTCAGGTAGCCTAGTGGTTAAAGCGTTCGCTCGTCACGCCGAAGACCCAGGTTCTAATCCCGACATGGGTACAATGTGTGAAGCCTATTTCTGGTGTCCCACTCGGTGATATTGCTGCTGGAATATTGCTAAAAGCGGCGTAAAACCAAACTCACTCACTCACTCACTCACTCACTCACAGAAATGTGCTGCACACATTGTACACGCGGGAAACGAACCCAGTCCTTCGACGTGATGAGCGAAACCTCCTGGCTACCCCTATTTCTTTATAAGCAGGGGCGGTCGGGTAGCCCAGTGGTTAAAGCGTTGGCTCGTTACGCCGAAGACCCGGGTTTGATTCCCGACATGGGTACAATGGGTAAAGCCCATTTCTGGTGTCCCCTGCCGTGATATTGCTGGAATATTGCTAAAAGCGGCGTAAAACCATACTCACTCTTTATAAGCATTGTGTTAATGTCATTTTATGTGTTGCAGGTTACGGGCACATTGCTCCGTCCACGGACCTGGGTCGCATGATGACTATGGTGTACGCCGCCATTGGCATCCCCCTTGCGCTCGTGTGTCTGGCTGACCTGGGGAAGCACTTCACGCTGGGCCTCAAGCTTATGTGGGCCTTCAGTAGGCGTTACTGCAACTGTCGTAAGAAGATGAGGAACGCAAGGAGAGGCAAATACACCCCGGATGATGTTGAAGATGGCAACAGCTCGACAAAAGCTGCCATCAAGCCTGGGGATAGGGTGTACTATGGCTACAAAATTGATGACGAATTCAATATTCCTATTTCCTTCGCCATAGGGATTCTTGTATTGTACATCTTTCTCGGGGCCATAATGTATGCCTTGTGGGAAAAATGGTCCTTCTTGGAATCGTTCTACTTCGTGTTTATATCCATCAGCACCATAGGATTCGGGGATGTACTTCCCGCCCATCCCAAGTTTTTTCTTCTGTCGTCAGTGTACGTCTTCATTGGCCTGTCGCTTGTGTCCATGTGCGTTAACGTGGCCATTGAGTTTTTCTCCAAGACCATTGATAAAGCCAAGGTGAATATTGACCGGGCTAAAACTAAAGCTAAGGAGAAGGCTAAAGAGGCTAAGGAGAAGATGCACGAGGTATCCAAGACTATAGACCGAGCTAAAGATCGAGCTAAGGAGAGGGTTACAGAAGCTAGAGACAGGGTGACAGATTTTGCACACGTCAAAAGGAGGTCAACGCGAGGCTCCCCTTCATCAAACAGAGCCTCCCCGTCTTCGGATGACGTGAAGTCAGAGACGGCAACACCTAAAAGTAGCCCCATTTCAGAAACTCCCGAGGAAACACCCACAAACACGTAGTAAGGATGGAACGGATGTTTATACTATGACTGCTTGGCCGTAAGATTGCTCGACTTGGCTTACTAGGTTGATGAGGAACACGTTGGAATGTCTACATTTTTTACTCACAAGAAGGATGGTTATGTGTCACAGTTGTACAGACTAGATTCTATCTATTCCTGGTTGATGAGGATCATGCCTATTGGTCACGTCTCCATGTCATACTCCACAGAAGGATGGTTATGTGTCACAGCTGTACAGACTAGATTTTATCTATTCCTGGTTGATGAGGATCATGCCTATTGGTTGCGTCTCCATGTCATACTCCCATGAAGGATGGTTATGTGTCACAGCTGTACAGACTAGATTTCATCTACATGTATTGCTGGTTGATGAGAATAATGACGGATAATGTCTGCATCCTGACCAGTCAGTGGAGCATTGTTTTGTGGACATTCTGTTCACGATCTCCATCGACATCTCAGTGACATGATTACCATCAATGCGTGTACTACTTTTGTGGCTTTTGGAGGTCTCATTGTCGTCATTCAGAATTTAACATTTAATGACACATCACATCAGAAATATACCTATTTGCACATGACTTTATGCAGCCGAGAAAGTTGTGCACACATTCCGTGTGAGTTGGTATGTGACTCTGTAATACTATAAAATGATGAGATTGTTTGAGGCAACCAATTCGGGACAATTTGGAATGACTTAAAATTAGCTGAACCACAACAATATGGTCACTGAAGACAGAGTTGACCAATGGATTTCAACTTCGTTATTCCTTCAGTGATACGTGTCGGTACAGGTGCTAGTAGATTATTTCAACTAAATTCCACAAAACGATATAGCAGTTTATTTTCCAGTGTATCATAGCGTGTATCGGACGATGCCAGGGTCATCTGACGATAACCTTTCCACATTTTATATATACCCTATTGAGGCATTTTCAAACGTAAAAAGTCGCTATACGTGACATTACAGGAAGTTTGTATCCTTTGTGGCCAGTAGTGTCTGGGGAACCGGCTGGGGTCTCCCTGGTAGAATATTGAAATGGTTCAACTGGCAAGTTTGCATCGTTACAAAAAAACAAATGCTGCTCTTAATGGACGTATCCTATTTTTTATGTCCATAAAAGTACACAAACTACCATATTCAGTCCTGTTATGGACATGTGGTCTTTGGTCCATAAGGTAGTATTTCCAAGTCGGATTCCAGCTTCTATTAGTGCTAAAATTCGATTGATCATATTTGCCATATACTTCAGGAATTCTAGATCATCATTACCATGAATACTTGACTTGGCGGAAGACGATCGAAGAGGAAGTCTAAGGGTAATAGGTGGTGTTCTGTTGGTTTGTGTGAGTGTGCGAGTGAGTTTAAGGTCGCTTTGAACAGTATTCCAGTTATATCGCGATGTGTCAGCTTAATGTGGGAGGAACGCCCGAAGTGATGCAGGTCTCAGACGTTTACCACTTCGGTGAAACCCACGAGCACGGGTATTGCGCTTACAAACCTAGAAACATAATCTGGGCGAACCGGGATTCGAACCCACAATCATAGGATTCTGATGTTCCCAAAGGACGCAACTCTGCACAGCGAATTTGATCTCACGGCTAGCATATAAACTTATTTGTGTTATATGGTATGGGTTGACCATTTCAACCATTGGTATCGTCCTTCACATTAAAATGGTTTGCAGGCAGCAGATTCTTTTCAACATCAGAGTAATAATCAATTCAAATTTGTTTCTTGTGTGTTTTACAGAATTGTTACGTAGGTAATACTGCGGGATTATTTGCTTTACTTATGTCGATTATTAAAACTACACTCTACTTACCAGCGATACGGAGTTTGAAAATTCTTTCTTTAAGGAATGGAAACTTGTCATATATTTACACGCTATTATTGTTGTCATTCGCATTTCCCACCGATAGAATGAATAATTACGCCATGTTTTGATACTCACATACGTCTTTCAAAGAAAATGTATCATTCTCATCTATATTGTGTGGTTATAGCTTTCCACGGCATATGTTCTTTAAAATAAATGCGAAAAGTGAAAGTGCCTTTCATTCGAGTGTTTACAATGCAGTTCGTTCAAATAACAATGACGTAAATTCATTGTTACATTCCTAACGAACTATCATTTCAAAACGTCACGCTAATACATCTAGCTAGGGTAAAGTTATTTTCGTGACAAAACGTCCATATTTTTGTAATTATATTCGAAAATATAAAATTATTATGGTTAATAGTGTCGCTTCATTGTTCACTTGTAATATGCAAAGAACACATTTGGCATCATGAACACATGCACTGCCCAAATATTCATAATTGCATATTTTTTTTAGGGCTTATACAATCGCAGTTATTCATTGTTTTATTAATATTCCAATCTGCACAGTTGTGTAAGCCTGATCTTCACCGGTCGAACATTGTGCACGGATAATCACACTTATGAATATATGCAAATGTTTTGAAATGTATTTCCAATTTCAAATACTTCAGTCGTACGCAATTATTATACCATGAGTCTGTGACATACTGACCATCGATTGATTTCATATATCAGGATTTCTTTGAAGGGTTTGTATGCTAACTACTACACATAACTTCCACTTTGCTGTGTGGTGAAAGCAAAGGATACTTGTCCGTGGGACCATAACATATCGAGTTATCGGTAGTTCGATACAAGCGGAGTGTCTGAGTTCTGTCGGAACCATAAAGTCACTTCTCTTTGAAAGGTATATAGATCTATCCATAGTTCGAGACAAGCGGAGTGTCGGAGTTCTGTCGGAACCATAAAGTCACTTCTCTTTGAGAGGTATATAGATCTGTCTATAGTTCGATACAAACGGAATGTCGGAGTTCTGTCGGAACCACAAAGTCACTTCTCTTTGAAAGGTATATAGATCTATCCATAGTTCGAGACAAGCGGGGTGTCGATATTGAAACATAGTGCCACTAAGGAGTCTGTCGATACCATAACGTCACTTCGTCTTAAACGATGTCGAGTTGACGGAGTTTGTTGTTATCGATATGTCACTATCCTGAGATGGTCATTATTGAACTTGTGAGAAAAGACGGTTTTATGGTATATGAGTGTGTGTTTCTGTCATATACGATCCGTGATAGTGCTATTTGGGTTTCAATGGTATAAACCCTTGGCCTGCGGGTGAGAATAAGTCCCCACCAACCTGGGTTGGTCGTAAGAGGCCACTGGCTTGGTGGTCAGGCTCAGTGACTTGGTTCATTGCGTGTCATCGAACTCCGAAGGCGCGGATCGTTGTTCTCAATGTCAATCATTGGATTGTCTTGTTTACACTTAATTATATACAGGCCGTCGTCCTATAGCTGGAATATTGCTGAGTGCGGCGGTAAACAACAAACAGACAAACAAATATATATGAGGCATGTATACTTTTGGAGTTAACCAAGATGAGCAATATTAATTGAAGCGTCCCTAAAAGCCTCCTATAAGTTGACATAACTGTTCAACCCAGCAGAGCTATGCTGCTGTGCTATATTCCAGAACCGATAAGGGAAACACCATTTGTTTACCCGACTCGATGGCCAGAATGATGTTCGGTGTTTCGTGTAAATTTTACCACAAATATCACCATGTTTCATAATTCAGAACATTTTATCGGTTCTAATGTTTGCATACTTAATGTTTATATGACGTTTTGTTGAGGAGAATCGTCAGATATCAATAAACGACAGAAATGATGTTCATGTGTTATACCGATTGTGTGACACGGGGTGACCTCTCTGTACTGATGATTAAACTGTGTAAAGTCTCGCTTTCTGTAGGCGTTTATATTCGTATGTACATATAAACATGTTGCTGGAATTACGTGTATTTCGGTATCTATACCCCTGTATTATTCCATTTAACTGCGCTCCGATTTTGGTGGGAAGAACGCCCTATTCGCGAGAAATGTCTATAATCCAACTGTCCCATGGAGATTCCGGGTTAGAATAGGTCTTCAGCAACCCATGCTTGTCGTAAGAACGAACAGGTCAGGTGGTGAGGCTCGCTGACCTAGTTGATGAATGTCATCGTATCCCAATTGCGTGGATCGATGCTCATGATGTCAATCACTGGATTGTCTGGTCCAGACTCGATTATTTACAGACCGCCGTCATATAGCTGGAATATTGCTGAGCGCGGCGTTATACAACAAACAAACAAACAAACAAACACTATAATCTGACTGTATGTGACGTAGACCTGAATCAGAAGAAATGAAACCTCGATTCAGGACTCGGCAAACAATTCAGAAATATTGAGAGTTGTTTATGAAAGTTTTTAAACTAATGTTAAAATGGATACCTTCATCCACGTTACTGATATCCCATTAAACCTGATATGTCCAGCTGAAAAATTGATGATCTGTTAAAAATACTGATAATGAAATTGATGAATCTGCTCTATAATGTGGGAGGAAACTCCGAAGTGATGTTGGTTGTAGACATTTACCACTTTGCTGAAACCCTGGCGCAAGGTGTGGTGATGACAAAGGAGCGCCATCATCACGGCTAATCCGGGATTCGAACTAAAGACCTGCGGATCCTGATCCGGCTAGGGATGCAATACCCGGCAAGGGTCTACCCCCAATGATGACAGTATTCAAAACAGTTTAAAGGGATTTTTTAGTTATGTCTTTTTTAAACAGTTTTTGCGAAATGATTTTAGTAGGTAGTAGTAGTCGTCGCATTAGCTGAAAAGTAGCTGTGTTGCAATGTAATCTTTGTAGATAGATGCAAATATATAGTAACACATATGATGCATAAATACATTCTTCGCTCCTTATACTGGCGAGGAAATGTTAAAGCTGATCTCTTGAATTGTGAAACTCGCTTGACTGCGTATTTGACCAGATTCTAGAAACATACTGGTGTAAATTGGAATATTGTATGGTACCCGTTGTCGTCTCTTATCATCTTTTCAGAAGTTATTTGTCTGCCATGTTCGGCACACAGGCAGCCATCCTATTTTACGAATTACAAGGCTTGATTCTTACCAGTGTTTTGAAATGCATTTGTATTTCACGAAATAAATGATTGATAAATGATTAGATGTTGTTTTATTTAATGCGTGTACACACTCACACACACACTCACACACACACACACACACACACACACACACACACACACACACACACACTGCCGTTCAAGAGTCATGACTGATTTTCTATATATAGATATAATAATAATGGTACTGTGATGAGTCATGTTTTCCATTATACATGTGCAAACATTGCGACCAAATGTCGTGTTTTTAGATCAATACAAAGATACATCGAAACTGTCAATCTTTTCGGAGTAACATGTATTCGTTGTTATTGTCGACCAAGAGTTATGCGTATCCGTGTGACATGCATATACTGACTCTGTCAACCAACAGACATGTGCATGCTTAACCGTGTAACAGGCACAGATTGTAATTGTCGACCAAGAGTCATGCTTATCCGTGTGACATGCATAGATTGTAATTGTCGACCGAGAGTTATGCGTATCCGTGTGACATGCATATACTGACTCTGTCGACCAAGCGTCATGCTTATCCGTGTGACATGCATAGATTGTAATTGTCGACCAAGAGTAATGCTTATCCGTGTGACATGCATAGATTGTAATTGTCGACCAAGAGTAATGTTTATCCGTGTGACATGCATAGATTGTAATTGTCGACCAAGAGTTATGCGTATCCGTGTGACATGCATATACTGACTCTGTCGACCAAGCGTCATGCTTATCCGTGTGACATGCATAGATTGTAATTGTCGACCAAGAGTAATGCTTATCCGTATATACAGAGTGTGGTTGGCAAGTATATATACAAGTAGGAGGTAATGTTTATACAGTAGAGTAGATATTGTTATACTGGAGTAGAGAAGCCTATTGTGTACACACAAGGGTAGTGATGACAATCACCGGCAAGGTCAAAAACATAAACAAAGGGTGAAGCCAGTAATATAACCAACATGATTATGGCTGTTTGGGGTCTTCGATGAGTTGATGGTACGCCGGGGGTATGTAATAGGATTGGTCACGGTTGATCGACGGTCGGAGTCTTTGATGTTGATTGTGACCAAGGCTATTACATACCCACGGCGTTGTTCATCCATAAATCCTATCCTGACTTATGACTACTTTGGTTAAACCAACGACCACGAGTTTGATGCTGGGAAACCAATGACCACAATCTAGGATCTGAAATTCGAACCATCGGATCATGTCACGCCTAGTGGTTAAAGCGTTCGCTCGTCACGCCGAAGACCCGGTTTTGATTCGATGGGTACAATATGTGAAGCCCATTTCTGGTGTCCCCCGCCGCGATATTGCTTGAATATTGCAAAAAGCGGCGTAAAACCACACTCACTCACTGTGTCACAGCGCCTTATACATTATCGAAAAACCAGTGGCCGATGAAGAACGATCAAAGCGGGTGGGGCAGAATCACACTCAATCAGAAGATTAAACCACCAAGTCTGCCAAACGATCCTGTTTTGTCGACCCTCACAAGCATAAATTACAGGTTTATACACCGGATGGACTTTCAGATGCGTGACTCTGTTTGTAGTCCTAAATGAGAGAATATTTCTGATCCATAAGGGTTATTCAAGGTAATGGGTCCTGACAACACAAGACATTTCGGTAAGAATGTTCAACTTACAAGTATGCTTATCCTCACTGAGACAAGACAACGAAGCGCCCGTAAAATGACCAACACTGATTATAAACAAAATATGACTCGCTTATTGATTGTATTTGATGTATTCTGAAATTTAAGAGAACAAAATTTGAAACTGTTTTTGGCGTTAGAAGACCTTTGTGATGTTTTTAATGTTAACAGAAACAATCTTAATTACACATTAACCTCAAAATTGCAAAGGAAATAGTATGCTTCTCGTTTTCGCAACTAAAAGGAACAGAAAATAGGTGAAAAACCTTGAAACAAACTTCCAGTACAATGTACACAAACATATTACAAAATAATTATGGAGACATTAAAACTGATTTCGTTTCAGAAAACCGTGTGTGTTTTGTACTGATATACGCGCCACGAGTTCTACTACCTGTCTGCAATCACTTCCGGTTTAATGTTGTGCAAGTTGAAAACATGGCAGTAGTTGATCAGTTCACTATTTACATTGTAACTGCCAGTGTCGTGGCACTGATTCTGTTAGTGGTCACCCTCATTAACAAGTTCAGCACATGTAAGTATTTCAAACGTGTAAGATTTGTCTCACCTTTCACGGAAACCGCACGGTACGTGTTAGCAGCTGGTGACATGGGCACTTTATTATTTTATATGACCATATGGGAATTCGTTGGTGTGTCAAAAACCCAGTCGCTTCTAAATCAGACAATGTAATTGATTTAGCACATGTTACAAAATTATGTCATTGACATCTGCTTTGCACATTACGTGAGAAAAGGTGACGTTACAATGAAAAAAACACTTGATTTTTTTTAAATATTTTTTTTCAGGCTAGTTATACTTATCATATAACACTTCTTGTCTTTTCTCATGTTTATGTCAACCCTACTGATCTAGAGTTTGTAAATGTTAAATATGTTATGGATTACAGCAGCAGTGTGTAATTTGTAATTAACCGCTTTTTGTCGGTTATCAGTAAACTGTAAATGTTTTACACAAGAGTAATACTCAGTCTCATTAAAATCAAATCTTAGTTCTTGCTACCACTAAACAAATGTCTGAGGAGATCCCATTATGGGTCTCATCAGCATGATCAGAAGAACCTTTCATCCAACTAATCAGAGCGTCGCTTACCAGATCAGGAAAGTGACAGTCGTAATGTGTTTTCTAATCATGCAACCTTGAACATGTGCGTGGACAGTACTGCCATACAATCACGACAATCTACATGATCTATGGGCCCTTACATTACATATTATGTCCTCTCAATGGGTGCATACTTTGTGATAAACGTTAATTTGCAATAGAATCACTGCTATTTCCATGGTTATTTGAATCTGTTTGATAACTTACATGCTCCTGTCCAGCAGCAAAAAACACAAATGAAAGAGAAGAAGCTGGGCAGGTCAACCGTCCTCCGCCTCGTGCTGCTGAAGCTCCCCCTGGTGCCAGGAGACGAGGACCACGCCGCAGGATGAGACTTAACCGAGATGATTCAGGTAAACAAAAAACGAAAATGCAGGGTTTTACATGATACGTAATTCCTATGTATTCAACACATTAATTTCTTGAAATAAATAGGACTGAAATAATATTAATAAAATAGGGACTTGGAATTACTGCAGTCGCAGTGTAATTGACAGCAAACAAGCATGGCTGGGCCTGTAAAAGAACTACGGGGTCTCAATTTGTTTTTTAATGGAAATAAAGTCATGTTTCCCAAATTTAGAAAATGACCATCCAATATATGTTGTGAGTCATCATGACTCCCATTTGACTCATGAGTCAACATGACTCCCTCTATGTAAAACCCTGAATTTATGATCAGACTAAATGTCATATCCTTCCTGAGTGAGTGAGTTTGGTTTTACGCCGCTTTTAGCAATATTCCAGCAATATCACGGCGGGGGACACCAGAAATAAGCTTCACACATTGTACCCATGTCGGGAATCAAACCCAGGTCCTTGGCTTGATGAACTAACGCTTTAACCACTAGGCTACCCGCCCGCCCCTCATGTCCTTTCTGAGTTTGTTAGATGTATGTGCCTATGCTGTCTGACAATGATGACTACTGCCTGTGTTATATTTAGACGAGGAGATGTTCGACGGTGATGATGATGACATCGCAGACACCTTGAATCAGGGTGAGGGGAAGGTTGGTGCCAAGAAACTCAAGAAACTACAGGAGAAGGCTGAAAAAAGGGCAGCACGAGAGGTGAGTGTTTCTCGTGTTAAGCAGTGTGAACATGGTTGATCACACCCTTGCTGGAATTCCGGGTTAGAGCCTCTGCTGGTTCAAGTGGTTGTGGGACATAACTCATTATTGCCACTTGTGGCTCTATGATCGAGCAGGCAGTCGGGTAGTCTAGTCGTAAAGGGTTTATTCGTCACACCTAAGACCTGGGTTCGTTTCCCGACATGGGTACGCTGTGTGAAGCCCATTTGTGGTGTCCCCCCCGGAGTATTGCTGGAATATTGCTAAAAACAGCGTAAAATTCACTCACTCACTATGATTGAGCCCAGAAATTCCAGCCCAGTTCAGCAAGGGTGGACACTAGACTTTTACAATCAGTTAACTCCCTTGCCTCAGGAAGATGGGACTCCCCTTGATTTCAGGCACTGGTTTTATTTAGAGGCTGGAACGTCCCCTTCTGCATCAACTGCATCTCATAAGCAATTCATGTCTGACTGGGGTGAAGGAGCACTTAAGAAATTAAGAACAAGACCAAAACAAAATTATCTTACCACTATGGCCATCATATACGATTACTATCGATAACTGCCATGGCTCTTTTGTATGGCTAGGAAAGGCTGATTTGCTCAGTGTTCTCACATTTCAAAATGTTTGCACACTCCAACACGTAATCAAAGTATCAACTGATGATGATAATTTGCGTTTTCAGCAAGAAATGGAGGAGAGAGCTGACAGGAAGAAGCGAGAAGCACTGCTGGATGAACAGAGGAAGAAGGATGACGAGAGGGAGAAGCTGGAGGAGGCTGCCAGGGTGAGATGATGTGGGGGAAGTAGCTGGAGTTGGCTTAGGGGGGTTGGAGGCTATGTTCAGACTTTAGAGGTCATCATCAAGCATAATGTTAGGGCTTCCAGACCTTGCATTGTATTTACTTGGAGTTCAGAGACTTGATACATTTCGTGAGTTGGAGGCTATGTTCAGACTTTAGAGGTCATCATCAAGCATAATGTTAGGGCTTCCAGACCTTGCATTGTATTTACTTGGAGTTCAGATACTTGATACATTTCGTGAGTTTGAGGCTATGTTCAGACTTTAGAGGTCATCATCAAGCATAATGTTAGGGCTTCCAGACCTTGCATTGTATTTCCTTGGAGGTCAGATACTTGATACATTTTGACATTTGCTGCATCATTGCAGCATCGTAAGATTCATTTCACTTCCTATTTTGTTCATTGATTATTAGTGTCGTCGGATCATACGTTTTCAGATGTTTATCATGATTACTTGTGCTAATAACATGGGGTGTAGCATCACGCAGACATTGTAAATACTCAGATGATGGCTTGCTTTTAAGAGAAAGTGAATGAGATGTTTTACAGTTGTTCATGTGATTAGAGAGAAAACCATGACCCATAACATATATATATATATATATATATGTGTGTGTTATTACGAAGAATGGTGAATGTGAGGGTAATAGCTTCTCATGATAAACATGACAAACCCTTCAGGAGGAAGAGGAGAAGAAGATCCGTGAGGAGAAGGAGAGACAGGAGCACGAGGAGTACCTGAAGCTGAAGGAGATGTTCTCTGTGGAGGAAGAAGGCCAGGATGATGCTGTACCAGATCTCAGTGTAAGAGCAAGTGTAGTCTGTGCCCCACATCAGTAATACATTAAGAGAGTAACCGCCTCCGTGGTCTAGTGGTAGAGCGTCCGCCCGGAGAGTGGAAGGCCGGGGTTGGATCCCCGGCCGCGTCATACCAAAAGACGTTAAAAGATGGGACTTGTTGTTACCCTGTCTGGCGCTCGGCATTAAGGGGCTAAAACAAGGCTACCAAAAAGAACTGCATTTCTGAAACAAATTAAACACATTTTTGACATTTGACAATTGTAAGCAGTCTGCAACAAACCAACCAACCAACCAACTTAACGTGCAATCTCATTAAAATCAGATCTAAGTTCTCACTGCCGCAAAGATCTGAGGACATCCCATCATGGGTCACATCAGACCCTCTCGCGTACTATGACTGACCACTGAAATGGCTAACAAGAAGTCGACATAAGCCAATTAGAAAGCAGCTTCCTCGAGCGTTTACAGCACTTGTTTCAACCTTGTGACTTCCATTTCAGACTACGCTTGAAAAACATGTTGACACAGTTGTCGATTAAGATTTTGAAAATTGAACAAACGAACATTCCGAAATGTATAATATATGGTTCGGATTGTATGGCAGTGCTTTCCATGTACTGTGCAACGCCTCCTCTGTTCAAATGTTTAAAAAGAGATAGATGATTTTGATAATTTTGACGGAATCAGTCGTATGGGCTATAACTGCCGTTTAGAGATTGCATGATTAGAAAACACATTCAGACTGTCACTTTCCTGATCTGGTAAGTGACCCTTTGATTGGTCGGATAAAAAATTGTTCTGATGTGACCCGTAATGGGATGTCCTCAGATCTTTGTTTAGCGATAGCAAGAACAAGGATCTGGTTTTAATGAGATTGACTTAAGGTGGTTCTCGAGGTTTCCTCTCTAACTGCACATTACAGTGATGACAACGACCCCTTGACTGTCATTCTTAATTTCAAACACTGCCCTCACATGACCAAAAAGACCCGTGGGTAGAATAGGTCTTCAGCAACCCATACTTGTCGTAAAAAGGCGACTATGCTTGTCTTAAAAGGCGACTAACGGGATCGGGTGGTCAGGCTCGCTGACTTGGTTGATGCATGTCATCGATCCCAATTGCGTGGATCGATGATCATGATATCAATCACTGGATTGTCTGGTCCAGACTCGATTATTTACAGACCGCCGTCATATAGCTGGAATATTGCTGAGTGCGGCGTTAAACAACAAACCAACCAACCAACCAAAAAGAACTGCATTTCTGAAACAAATTAAACACATTTTTGACATTTGACAATTGTAAGCAGTCTGGGGCCTTATAAGCCAGTAGTCCAAATGACATGTCCAGTCAAAATGTCTTTATCTCAGGTAAGCTCAGGTAGTGTCCATTTGTTAACACTAAATTCTACTGAAATGGTGCCAGAAGACAACTGTGTATTCTGGGATTAATTCTTCATTTCTTTGTTATACTTTCAGTCAGAGTCTCTACTGCAGGAATTCATCAGCTACATCAAGGTATGATCATCATCAACAGGTGTCTGACAGAGCCGCATAAAACAAGTACCTAGTTACAGGGGCAAGAAGTTATTCAACAGCGCTAGCAGTTTCAGATTTCAGTCGTTTTTTTCACCCTGCCAATATTGGGGAAAATCTGGTAGCACAGGATGAAATGTATTGCGCATTTCAACAAGGTTCAAACTTCAGTATCAATTAATTCAGCAGAGGGATAGCCAATGGAAACATGACTTACTTGTGACAAGACCCCTTGAAGATCCGGGTTAGGTCTTCAGCAACACATGCTGTAAAAGGGGACTATGCTTGTCGTAAGAGGCGACTAACGGGATCGGTTGGTCAGGCTTGCTGACTTGGTTGATGCATGTAATCGTATCCCAACTGCGTGGATCTATGCTCATGATGTGAGTCACAGGATCGTCTGGTTCAGACTCGATTATTTACAGACCGCCGTAATATAGCTCGAATATTGCTGAGTTAAAGTGCAGCATTAGACAACAAACAAACAAAAAACTTGTGACATTATAATGGAATTGGATGCTGCTCGAGAAAGCTGCTTTTTCTTGTTAGTTGTGATGGATGAATAACAAACAATGTTATTATTTTTAAAGTGAGCATTTTCTTTTTGAGAAGGGTGAGGAAGAATTATGTATTACAGCTCAGTAGATAGAATCAGGCCAGTCACAGGCTACCTAGATTTTATTTTAACAAGAAAAGAAAGTAGCTACCTGGCTACCTGGAAGGTGCTTTTATTTCACACTGCCTAGTTACATAGGAGTGGTTTGTTAGCATTGGACCGCCTCCGCCCGGAGAGCGGAAGGTCCGGGGTTTGATTCCTGGCCGCGTCATACCAAAAGACGTTATAAGATGGTACTTGTTATTACCTTGTCTGGCGCTCGGTATTAAGGGGCTATAACAAGGACTGGTCGGCTCGGAGTCAGTATACTGTGTCTGAGTGGGGTATTCACCTCACCTCACCTCACCTCACCTTGTTAGCATTGGTTAATACCATACTCACATGAGACGAGGAACAGGTAAGGGGAGGTAACTCTTCCATGATTCCTTACCAGAACACTCATTGCATAGTGCTGTTATGACGATCATAATCTTATGTTATGTTGCAAGAATTGCAGTGACTGGTCGAATCTGACAATCAATATGTTATGGCAGTCAATACTTCATTGAGCAGAACTTTTCAGATATTATTCTTGAAACTTTGCATACACTTCAACCAGTGGGTGAACCTTTGTTTCGTATGGTTATTTGTATTAGTTGTTACTATCAAATATGCAAAATATGAAATTGTAATTTTCAAAAAGTCCTGTCTTCATACAAGCCGTCCCCCGGCTTCTGACAGCAATAGGAAAAGTGCTACAAACGAAATAACCCTGTCATGGAATTTAAGCACACATAAGGGTCATAACTCTGTCAGGTTTATGATGGTTTTGTACTCTTGTTCACTCCTTTTGATGTGTTGGGCACAAACAGACCTTCCGTGGTCCAGGTCACCCTAAGACTCAAACACCATAGGGATACGGGTGGCCCAGTCGTCTAAGGCGACGCGATTCGCTGTGCAGAGTTGCGTCCTTTGGGCACGCCAGAAACCTATAATTGTGGGTTTGAATCCTGTTCGCCTGGATTATGTTTCTAGGTTTGGCAGCACCATACCCGTGCTCGTGGGTTTCACCGAAGCAGTAAACATCTGAGACCTGCATCACTTCAGGCTTTCCTCCAACATTAAGCCATGATATGACTGGCATACTGTTAAAAGCGGCGTTAAACCCAACTCACTCACTCACTCAAACACCATACCCATGTAAGTGTGGAAATGCTAAAACTCACTTCAGATGAAATATGAAACATTGGGTACTGGTGTTGTCTAATGGTCCCTGGGTCTTTGTAAATACCTACCTAGAGAATATAGAAAGCAATACATACATTTGTCTCACACAAAATGATGATTTGACAAGGCTAATGATGCAGGCCTTTATATAAGGTTAACATATAAAGCCAAATAAATTTGTTTGTTTTATTATTATTTATGTAACCTTTGAAGATCCGGGTAGAATTGGTCTTTGCAACCCAAGCTTGCCATAAGAGGCGACTAACGGGATCGGGTGGTAAGACTCGCTGACTTGGTTGATGCATGTCATCCTATCCCAAATGTGTAGATCGATGCTCATGATGTCAATCACTGGATTTCTGGTACGTGGTCCAGACTTGATTGACGGCCGTCATATAGCTGGAATATCGCTGAATGCGACGTTAAACAACAAACAAACAAACAAATATTATTTATGTTGAGTGGAGAAGTTTTAACATATGATATATATGTATCGACTTCGTGTCCCCAACCTTCCCATTGTGGTCGCGATTGTATCATCATTGTGTCAATGTGTCATCAGTGTTGTCATCGTTATGTCAGTGTGTCATTATTGTGTCATTGTGTCGTGGCATTAATGTGTCATCGCTGTGTCATGACTGTCTTCACTGTGTTGTCAGCGTCGCCACTGGCATCACTGTGTCATCACTGTGTCATCACTGTCATCAGTGTTGTTTTTTCTTCTGCAGGATATGAAGGTGGTGATACTGGAAGACCTGGCTGCCCACTTCAAACTGAAAACACAGGTGGGTTACTAGGCAACATACCTGTGTAGATCTGGGGTAGAATAGGTCTTCAACCCATGCTTGTCGTAAGAGGCAACTAACGGGATCGGGTGGTCAGGCTCTCTGACTTGGTTGATGCATGTCATCGTATCCCAATTGCATAGATTGATGCTCATGATGTCAATTACTGGATTGTTTGGTCCAGACTTGATTATTTACGGACCGCTGTCATATAGCTGGAATATTGCCGAGGACGGCATTAAACAACAAACTGCAACGTGGACATATGAGGGGGAAACTAGCATGATCCTTATCTGGATTTAGAGCAGTGCTTGATGACAACCTGTTTGAAAAACAGTGAGTGAGTGTGTAGGGTTTTACGCCGCTTTTAGCAATATTCCTGCAATATCACGGTTGGGAACACCAGAAATGGGCTTCACACATTGTACCCATGTCAGGAATCGAACCCGGGCCTTCGGCGTGACAAGCGAATGCTCTAACCACTGCTTGGACCAGTGGGAGGTCATAGCATGTTTGATTCAAGTTATTCAAAACAAACTCAGGCCTTAGATCTATTTTGCGTATTTTATGGATCCGCCACACTTAAAACTTGAAAATTCAGAAAACAATCAAATTAGAATGAAAAGGATGGTTTTTATAATACGGCGTCGGAAAAGATCACTTTGACAATGAAATTGAGATTTTTTGTGACAACAAAAACTTTCCATTGTTAATTAATCTTATTCTTTTACAACCTAACCAATGCAAATAAAATCTTTAAAATGATTTTAAGATATCCTATTCACTGCATTTTATATTATTCATTTTTTTCAAACCTCCAATCAAAATCCATGAACAAAATAAAAATGAAAATGTCTGGCCTTAGGTGGTCTGCTAGTGTCAAGTCGAGGGAGTCCATATTACCCAGGGACCGTGTCACATTCTCTCACAAGGCACTGAGTACTTCTTCTAGGCCTTGGCTTGAAATGGCATCACACCATAGTCTTTCTTGGTCTGGACCGCCTCTGTGGTCTAGCGGTAGAGCGTCTGCCCGGAGAGCGGAAGGTCCATGGTTCAATCCCCAGCCGCGTCATACCAAAAGACGTTAAAAGATGGCACATGTTGTTACCCTGTCTGGCGCTCGGCATTAAGGGGCTTAAACAAGGACTGGTCGGCTCGGAGTCAGTATACTGTGTCTGAGTGGGGTATTCATGTTAAACTGCGGTATGGTATCTCAGTGAGATAGCACTATAAATCGGCATCAGTCCAGACTAGTACAAGCAGCTACACTCACAAACACGTGCATGCACGTCGCTATATAAGTGCAATAATCTTGGACGCGACGTTAAACCCAATATCACCTCACCTCACCTTTCTTGGTCTCTTCTGTTTTCTATAGGTACACAAACCTAGATACAGTGTAATAAACAACAGTAGATCTAATTCCCACCGATGAGAAGGGTGTGTTACTTTGATAACTTAATCAAACAACAGATAGCAGAAGCACACACTATTGCTGTTGAACAACCAGATTGTATGTCTGCCTTGATATAATGAAGGGTTGGGACCTCTTTATCATAGTGCTACCTGCTTCTGTATGACACTGAGCCAGGGAGGTACTCACACAGGTGATTGATTGTTGGAGGGACTGGTTTGGTATTGTGATTGATGGTGTGATTCATGACTTCAGACGAATGCAATATGCAGTAACTTAGACTGAGTAATGGACTTTGTCTTGTCCTAGTGGATACTGTACATACATGACTGCCCAATGGTGATTCCAGGTTAGACTTGGTTCCCTAGCAACCTCTGCTGGTCCATCTTCCCGAGGCAAGGGCATTAATTAACTATAAAATTCCAGTTTCCACCCTTGCCGAACTAGTCTGGAATTTGCTGGTCCATTTTCCCCAGGCAAGTTTCCACACTTGCCGAACTAGACTGGAATTTGCTGGTCCATTTTCCCCAGGCAAGTTTCCACACTTGCCGAACTAGACTGGAATTTGCTGGTCCATTTTCCCCAGGCAAGTTTCCACACTTGCCGAACTAGACTGGAATTTGCTGGTCCATTTTCCCTAGGCAAGTTTCCACACTTGCCGAACTAGACTGGAATTTGCTGGTCCATTTTCCCCAGGCAAGTTTCCACACTTGCCGAACTAGACTGGAATTTGCTGGTCCATTTTCCCCAGGCAAGTTTCCACACTTGCCGAACTAGACTGGAATTTGCTGGTCCATTTTCCCCAGGCAAGTTTCCACACTTGCCGAACTAGACTGGAATTTGCTGGTCCATTTTCCCCAGGCAAGTTTCCACACTTGCCGGACTAGACTGGAATTTGCTGGTCCATTTTCCCGAGGCAAGTTTCCACACTTGCCGAACTAGACTGGAATTTGCTGGTCCATTTTCCCTAGGCAAGGGCCTTAACTGACTATAAAATTCCAGTTTCCACACTTGCCGAACTAGACTGGAATTTCCAGGCTCGATCGTAGCGCCACCAGTGGTTTTTATGTCCTTTCTATGTCCCTCCTATTGACCAATCAGATTCCACCTCCCATATCACTTGCAATTGCTTCCAACAAAATGGTGGCGCCCAGTCAATACAATCTGATCGATAATAAAAATCTATATGGTAATAAAACAGGCCTTACCTCTCCAAGTGCGTCAAATCATAAAAACATGAAAAGATTGCAAATTCAGTACTTCCCTGTATTTCCCTGTATTTCCCTGTATTTCTCCAGGACGTGATACAGCGAGTCCAAGATCTGCAGGCTGAGGGTCAGCTGACCGGCGTGGTGGACGACCGCGGCAAGTTCATCTACATCACCATGGACGAACTGGAGGACGTGGCCAAATACATCCGACAACATGGCCGTGTCTCCATCACTGACCTGGCCGAGTCCAGTAACCGTCTCATCAACCTCAACCCCGAGAATACAGAAACACATAAAAAACTGGTGTCGGAGGTGTCAGGATGACGTGTGACAACCAGTGTGTGAGGGAGGAATGATGGGGTGACAGGGAGGATGTTGTGGAGGCTGGCAGGGCGGCAGGGCATGTGACTTGTGTGACCTGACCTTGTGTGTGTATGAGGTTGTGTGACCTGACCTTGTGTATATGGTGTTGTTTGACATGACCTTGTGTATATGAGGTAGTGTGAGATAACCTTGTTTATATGAGGTTGTGTAACATGACTGTGTATATGAGGTTGTGGGGAATGACCTTGTGTATGTAAGGTTGTGTGACATGACATTGTGTGTGTATGACCATGTGAGGGAGAGATCTAGAAAAATTTGTGCTCAGCACTGCAGCATACTTTGATAAATTCAGACTGCACTTTTCATTCCATTGTTTCTATGGTAACTGGTGCAGTGGACCTGGAGGAACACAAGCTAAGAACATAACCGTCATGGGAGTTATTAACTTTAACATAGATACAGCTGTTTACTACGTTTAACTGACAGTCATGATCTAGAGACAACTGTGACAGGTTAAAAACAAACACTGATACATTGTCTTGCAGTTGTAGACACACAAGTCCAGAAATTGAAAAATAGAGGATAGTATATGAGTATTCATGTCATACTATGTTTACGACACGAGTGTCTAAATTCTGGTATTTCTCGAGCAAGAGCAAGGGAAATACCGGAATGTAGGCACGAGTGTTGTAAACATATAATGACATGAACACAAATATTATGCTCTTTTTATAACCGAAGAAGATGTCTACATACAGAGACAAATTTTAGTGTTTACCTATAAGGACAGCAAGTCGCAACAACACAATTGTCAATGACGTCAACATTCAGCTATGACGTCGTTTCTAGTGGGACGTCATTCCAACCTCACATCACAATAAGATTCGAATGACGTCAACAATGACAATACACTGTTGTCTCGTGAGGTGATATGACCCTAGGCACATATGATTTTTATGAACCCGGATATATTTTCCCTTGTAGGTAATAAAACACGTTTAGCCTTCAGCTGTTGCTGGTGACTTGCAGTATGAGTGACTGCCTGTGTTAGAACATGCATACGAGAGGAGTTTCCTGTGTCCTTGTATGTGATGTTTGAAAGTTTGACGTATGTTTGACCATCTGAGGAAGTGAGAGTAGTTGAGAAGGTTGGTTTGTTTGTTTGTTTCTTGTTTAACGCCACACTCAGCAAGATCCCAGCTATATGACGGCGGTCTGTAAATAATCGAGTCTGGACCAGCAATCCAGTGACTGACATCATGAGCATCGATCCACGCAACGATAACAAGTTGAGAAAGTGGAGGCTATGATTCTATACATTTAACTTATTTTCTTACAAATTCTTTATTTTCAACAGTTTCAGATTGGGTATTTTCAAGTCAATAGTCTAACAAACACATCAGTATACTTTCAGTGTGATATTTCCATGTAGCCATGGTTACAAATTAATAAAATGAAAAAGAAAGCCAATTCCACTGGTATTTGTGTGACTGGTGCCATTTCAGATAATGTATACCTTGAAGTTTGTTATTTATATAGTGATGTGGATTTGTACATATTGAGTACACATGGGGGTTACCGGTACTTATAACTTGAATAATTTCCTGAAAGTTAAGTCCACATTTTTTGTTTTTTTGTTTCACGGGACAACTGCCCCTACTGAAAAGCAGCTGGAAAAGAAATAAATTAAGCATACAAATATTTATTTTTACTATGTCTCCTGCTAGTAAGATAGACCCTCTTATATATATCCGTGAACATTAGATTAAATAAGTGTGGTCTGCGTGTTCTTTGTTTAGGATTTTACTGTACTCCCTGATAAGGATTAAGGTTATATCGTTTGATATGTAAGTCCTCACAGGGAACTGTTGAGGTAAGACGCAGATTACGTTCTGTTTGCTCATGTCCAAGTCCCTTGAAACATGAACTAATACAGAGTTACAAGTTTACTGTATCAGGAAACTCAATTGTTGAATAAATAAAATCATAAATTTAAGCAAATAGTTGTGTTTTTCTGGTACAGAATATCACGTCAAAACAGAAGTTGTGCAACACCATCGTCCAAAGGAAAGTCTTTGAACTGACACAATCTTTTTTCTTTTTTTCATCTTGTTTAACCCATAAATGGTCATGGATATTCATTTTCAAGACAAAATGAATTGAGTGAGAATGGTTTTGCACCGCTTTTAGCAATATTCCAGCAATATCACTGCAGGGGACACCAGAAATGGGCCTCACACATTGTACCCATGTAGGGAATCGAACCCGGGCCTTCCGAGTGACAATTGAACACTTCAAACACTAGACTACCCCACTGCCCCCAAAATGTATTGAACTGAGCTGGAAAATCCTTGAAAAGCTGACTTTGTTGGATGGAAAATTTATAGAGCTGTCAGCACCTTCATCAACATACTTGAGGAATTCAATCAGCAGACTACTGTAAGGTGATAACACCTCCCCTGGTGATTTTCCGAATATACTACTACTCAAAGATTATTGACATTAGGTATTAATCTTCAATAGACTTCTTCCAAATAGCTCTTGGGGATTCGTTTGGCACGTCATAAAAAAAGATTTAAGGTCATGGTCGCAAGTTAGAAAAAGCTCAGAAACATTTGTTCATATGCTTTCTCAAAAAAACCATTCATGCATTCCCGTAGCCTAGTTCGCTCGTCACGCCGAAGATTCCCGACATGGGTACAATGTGTTAAGGCCATTTCTGGTGTCCCCCGCCGTGATATTGCTAGAAACGGCGTAAAACCAAACTCACTCACTCACTCACTTTGATCGGAAATCGCCCACAACGTATACATTTCGGATCTGTTAGAAACATGAGACAGAAAAAATAAATGGGCTTCCATCACGACAGGCCAATAACGTTTACTGATCTTTACTCACCGAACCTGGAATGGATAAAGCACTTCTGATTTCAACGAATGGGAATCATTTCCGTCAGCCAATACCGAGGGCATTATTCACCCGTTCTTTGTTGCTGAGTGCGGCGTTAAACAACAAACAAACATTATTAATATTTGATGTGGCTAAGAAACTTCGTTAAGACGGAATTAAACCAATGAAAAAAAGAACGTTCATTTTCTCCAGTACAAGTCAACACAATGATTAGTGTCAAACTAGAGTGTACGAGTAATAATCTTGACTTTCCAAGTGTGCAAATAAAGGGTTTTCAGTTGAAAAAAAACATCGCACGTACGTTGTCAATCATGACTGACTTCTTCTGAATTGGACTCCTTTAGTAATTCTCCCGGTTGAATTATCAATCTATAATCATGAACTGGCAAATAACCCAGTCGTGTTTACAACTTCGTTATTGGTAATAATCTAATAAACACCTCAGCGAAGTTTATGAGACATGATTATAATCATCTTGACAACAAAGACGACCACCTTCAGTAAACCCGCTGATACACAAACACTTTTCATGTTTCTCATTGATAAGGTCCGGCCTATACAGTGTTCACAATGGTATGTATATAGATTATTGCAAGAGGGTACTAATACAACCATTGTTTGAAGCCACAATCGCCACACCTTAGTGGTCAACACAAGGTCGTGACACATGTTCCCTTGACATTCGTATTGTATTGTATTGTACCCGTGTCATGTTCAACAACTGGACACACAGGTACTGTGTCGTTATGAGTAATTGTTGTCGAGAACCTATCATGGGAACTCTAATACCATCTGGTTTCTTCAAATAATTAAAGATTCTGGGTTGGAATAAGTTCCCAAGCAACGTATGCTTGTTTGTTTGTTGCTTAACGCCGCACTCAGCAATATTCCAGCTATATGACGGCGGTCTGTAAATAATCAAGTCAGGACCAGACAACCGAGTGATTAACATCATGAGCATCGATCCACACAATTGGATACGATGACATGTTCAACCTTTTAAATAATTGAGTCTGGACCAACAGATCTCGACTAAGTGGCACTACAATTGAAAAGGTACACCTTCATTAATGACAACTTTAATTTGATTCTAACACTGTTCGCAAGCTGAATAACGGCGTAAAACACTACATTGAAACGTCGCTAAGTGCGATAAACCGGAAGTTATCCATAAGTTAACGTTTTCTTATTTATTCACCAACTTCTAGAATGTAACAAATGTTATGTTTGGGGTAACACTTTCATTGAAAAGTACAGATTCTCGTAAATGTTTTGGGTTAGTTCCGTCCGGGATTTAAACCCACACCGAGTGAGACACATAGTAGCCAGCACACAAAATCCGCGATCTAACCCGCTCAGCCGAGGCTTCCACAAAAATGAAAGTTCCACAACTTGTAATCTAGATCACGTACTTAGTGTACCCCTCTGATAAGTGTAAATTGGCACGGCTCCCATGGCCGAAAGCTATGAATACACGGTGCCGTTTAGAAAGTGGTCAAGTATGACAACTGTTATATGTGGGATAACACTTTCTTGGTAAAGTTTGTTTGTTTGTTGTTTTACGCCACACTCAGCAATATTCAAGCTATATGACGGCTGTCTGTAAATAATCGAGTCTGGACCAGACAATCCAGTGATTGATACCATGAGCATCGATCCACGCAATGGGGATCGATGACATGCTTCAACCAAGTCAGCGAGCCTGACCACCCAATCCCATTAGTCGCCTCCTACGACAAGTATAGTCACCTTCTACGGCAGTAAAGTACGAGAATCTGTACTTAACAAAGAAAGTGTTATCCCAAATATAACAGTTGTTACATTTGACCACTCTCTAAATGGCATTGTGTGTTCACCACGGGTGAGTTATAAATTCATGTTTATTATTTTTGCAATAGTTCATCAAATATTGTTATTATTCAATTCCTGTTTGGATATTGACAAAGAGATTGTACTTAAAATGAATCATGTTGAATATTTTCTTTAAAAATAATTTTAAAAACCACCAAGTCGTAACAAAGAACAAAATGTCATATAATGGTTAGATCGTAACAATCCCATGCATTCAAGTATACTGAAAGAACCCTCAGTGAAGGTAAACCCTATAATCCCCACGCCATGATCTTGCATGAACCTACAGCATTAGAAAACAACGCACCAGTCATAGATCGAGTGTGGGGAATCCCCCGACTCAAATTCAAGTAGTGTGTATCGTTTAACCACATACACTAGACTAACATAAGACTTGAGTGAATAAAAACAGTGTCACTCAAATACAGCTCTATAAAAAAAACACGACGAAGCAGGGGCTATATGGGTTATGAAAAAAAAGGAAATTTAATCTTAGAACTTGGTTAATGCACGTGTTGAGTATCAACACGATGTGCTTCAATCTGGACCTTGGTGTTGTCATACTGAAAGCAGTGATGGATCCTTCTGAAAATAACAATACACGTAATATCTAAATACGGTGCCAAATGACAAAAACAAATACCTTCGTTTTGTTAAACTTGTGTTAATAGTTCCCACAAAAAAAAACAAAAAAATATTCTCAAAATACAAAATGTTACAGTCGATCTCAACAGGCCTTGCCTCAACACAAGTTCCAGTTAATCAGTAGTGAGTGAGTTGTTTTAACGCCGCTTTTAACAGTATTCAAGTCGGCGTGTCAGCTTAATGTGGGAGGAAAGCACGAAGTGATGCAGGTCTCAGACGTTTACCACTTCGGTGAAACCCACGAGCACGGGTATGGAGTAGACAAACCTAGAAACATAATTGGGACGAACCGGGATTCGAACCCACTATCATAGGTTTCTGGCGTGCCCAAGGGACGCAACTCTGCACAGCGAATCGCTGCGCCTTAGATGACTGGGCCACCCGTGCCCCCACTTGATCAGTAGATCTGGGTCTCTGAGTGGCATGTCAGTCATACGAAGGTAACGTTTCTCAATCTTGTTTATGCTGTGAAACACTGGTTTGTCTGGTCCAGACTCGGTTATTGGCGGGTCAACACGATAAAGGTGAAAATCTAACTCGCTTAAAATTAGCCTCCAAATCTGGATCTTATTCCGGCAAAACACGGTCTTGAGGTGTGAAAAGGGACAGGTCATTTTCGGAAAGACGAGGAAGCGCAATCTTGCATCAACGACAGCTCATAACCTGTCCACAAGACCACGAATTTAAACAAATAAAACTGTCCTCGATGTTGTTGTTTTTTGTTTGTTGTGTAACGCCGCTCTCCAGATAAATTACGTCGGACGTAAATAATCAAGTCTGGACCAGACAACCCAGTGATTGACATCATGAGCATCGACCCACGCAATTACGACACGATGATGTGTTCAACCAAGTCAACGAGCCTGACCACGCGATCCATTTCGTCACCTCTTAGGAGTAGCGTAGTTTTCCGGGGCTCTATTCTTACATGGAACCCCCACGGGTTCCGATCCAATCTAAAATCACGATTGGTTGGTTGGTTGGTTGGTTGGTTGGTTTGTTGTTTAACACCACACTCAGCAATATTCCAGCTATATGACGGCGGTCTGTAAATAATCGAGTCCGGACCAGACAATCCAGTGATTAATATCATAAGCATCGATCGACGCTATTGGGATCGATGACATGCATCAACCAAGTCAGCGAACCTGACCACCCACTCCTACGACAAGCATAGTCGCCTTTTACGGCTAGCATGGGTTGCTGAAGACCTATTCTTACCCGGGCCTTCACGGGCCACGAACCTGAATAAAAAAGTAATTACTTAAAATATTGGACGGATGTTTTATTACGGGAATGTAAACAGTTATACGTCTGTCTTTACAACCTCAAGCGCATACTGCTAACACAATCTCTTTAAAATCAGATCTTAGTTCTCGCTATCGCTAAACAAAGATCTGAGGACACCCCATTAGGGGTCACGTCAGAACGACCTTTCATCCGACCAATCAGAGCGTCGCTTACCAGATCATGAAAGTGATAGTCGGAATGTGATTTCTCATCATGCAGCCTCGAAAACTTTAAAACGGGGTATTCCAAACGATAGTTAGGGCTTAATGACTGAATCCATACAATCTAGACCATATATTAGCCATTCCAGAATGTTCTTTTGTTCAGGTTTCAAATTTTTAAACGAGAATTTGTCAAAATATGTGTCGAAGCGTAGTCGCCAATTTGAAATTAGTGCCGTAAAGCTCGAGAAAGCTGCCTCCTGATTGGCTATGTCGACTTCTTGTCAGTAATTCCATTGGTCGGTTAGAGTTCGCGAAAGGTCGGTCTGACGTGACCCGTAATGGGATGTCCTCAGATCTTTGTTTAGCGGCAGCGAGAACTAAGATCTGATTTTAATGAGATTGGCTGCTAACACCTACCATGGTCGTCCCCAGGGCAGGAGAAGCTATACTTCTTGTCGAAATCTGCCGAAATGAATGCTTCTGAATGGAAATTGACCAACATTCGGTATAATTCTACAGTGGATTGTCTCAGATGACTTATCCCTTAAGGAAAAAGAGGATTATCAATCTATAATGTAACTTTTCAAAATAGACACACACTGACATACACTTTAAACTGGATGTACAAAAGCCGGAATTATTATACATGTTCAAATCCATTAATGTTTTCAGGTTATATATAAATCAGACCAAAGGACACTGGCATCTAAACTGTGATAATAATATTGATACCAATGTTAATGAATGTACATAGCGTCTAAATTCTCTCAAACAGGTGTGCAAACAGTAGCGATTTAGCAATACTCCAGCAATATCAAGGCGAGGAACACCAGAAATGGGCTTCACACAATGTACCCATGAGGGGAATCGAACCTTATAATGAACTTTAAATCTTGTCTTCGATGTGACGAGCGAACACTTTAACCACCAGGCCACCACACCACACAAGCGCTATTTATAGATATGCTCTAACGTTCTGGTACAGAAAGAAGTGCCCAATAAATGACTATTCACTGAGGGGTCAGTACTGTATCAGATTGCACTGTGACACAGGAATGTCCAAGGCGGATTGTTGTTACATCTGAGTCAACAAACCTTTGTATCTGTCTCAAAAATGTTCTACTTCATCATAAATAAGGATGAAGGTGCCCCCCTTCATCCACAAGTCATTTCACGATACGAACAGAGAAACACTGTCATTGCCAAAACACACAACCTGGTACGGTTGCTATGACAATCGATGCTGAGGCTCCATTTGAATCACCCGATGGTGCACCATGCTATCCAGTGTGCCGTGTCTGGAGGTCCTACACGTTGATGAATAACACTGTTCACGTGTTTGTCTCATTCGAAAAATACATCATCATCCCGTCTGTTCTGTGGGTCCCAGTCGTACCATCTCTCCACGTCCCTGGGTCTGTAGCTGGGATTCCTTGCCTCATGCTCGTGTTTCGACGGGGTGCGGAAGGACCGGGGGTAGTCAGCATCATCCGCGTACCCCTGGGGTTTGGCGTAGATGTGGTACTCCCCCTTATCCGATGTTATCCGAATGTCAGTTTTGGGATACTTCCCGTACGTTGCTTTTAACTCTCGTTTCATGAAATCCGGTAAACTTGTAAAATCTCTCGAAGACCTTTTCAGATGCACTGTCACAAGCCGACCAAACTCCAGCACCCCTTCCATGTAGAAACTCTCGTCCGTTATGTGATGAGCCATTGGTGGCGGGGGTATGGGTGGTGGAGGAGGGGGTGGGGGTACATAGTACGGGCTCTGTACCCCAGGGTAGGGGTTATAGTACGTGGGTTGAACAGACCCTCCCCTCACCTCCCCGTAAGGTCCATATGTGTAAAAACGTGGATCTGGGTGATGGCTATACGCCGGAACTGTTTGAGCTTGTCGCGGTGCTTGGCTGATTCCAAAATACGCCGGTATGGGTGGAGCATGTCCGCTTGGTAGGTTCGGGTACGGGTACGGGGGTATGTGGTTGTAACGGCTGTAGTCTGGCTGTGGAGCCGTGTACCCGGTTCGCCCGAACGTCGGATGAGCTCGTGGGTTGTCGTCCTGTAACGATCCAACCATTCGGTTAGGGTTGAAGACTTCTAGAGCGGGAACCTCCAAAATAGGGCGCTGTCCGAATCGGGAACTGACAACCGGATCCGCCATAGCTCAACCGGAACCGGAAGTGGAAGTAGTGTTTTGTAGAACCCGTGAACAGTTTCTTGTATCACTCAATGGCGGAAGTGGCAACTTAAACTCCTCGCCACCTTCTATGTATTTACGTATTACGTATCTCTGTCGAAGATGCTATCCAAAACGTTTCATTTTAACCCAAAACATGTTCATTTGTCACACACCATCCATGAAGGCACACAGCTGACCATCCCCTGTGAGTCTTGCAACGAGTACCTGGAAATATGGTTTAAATAACGGTTTAGAAGCAATAACAAACTTATATATTTCAAAGCTATGATGGTAATAAAATAGCATAGTTGATTATATGGGTTCTCATAGCAGTAATCCAAATATGGCATTCTTGTTGTGATCAACATGTAATGCCGCACTCAGAAATGTTCCAGCCATATGACGGCGACCTGTAAATAATCGACACTGGACAAACCAGTGATTGGTATTGTTATCAATCACACAAGTCACCGATCCAAATTCATCACCTCGAAGACAAGCAATAGAGTATACTGAATCTACATGGCGTAGTAATAGACGGAGTCTGAATGAGCATGGAAATCGAAAATTCAGTTAAAACAGCCGTATTTAACAGTTCTTGAATAACAATATTAGATGGGGAGCAATTTAGGGGCGGGTGGTTTCCATTCGTCACCACTCGCCCCTTTCCGTAACCTGCTATTCGGCTTGTCCCGGAATAACACGAGTTGGTCACGAATGGGGTGGTTTCATGGGAAGCAGGAACATGCAAACATGAAGAAGAGTAAGCTCTTAGATCGAAATGTAAAATTTGCAATAAATACACGCCGTCCTCCTAACCTTAACACTTTATTTCGAATATTTTACTTAGCGTGAACCCGTGAAGATCTGGGTTAGAATAGGTCTTCAGCAACCCATGCTTGCCATAAAAGGCGACTACGCTTGTCATAAGAGGCGACTAACGGGATCGCGTGGTCAGGCGTGACATGGTTGATGCATGTCATCGTATCCCAATTGCGTAGATCGATGCTCATGATGTCAATCATTGGCTTGTCTTGTCCAGACTCGATTATTTAAATCATATCCATCATCCAGCTGGAATATTTCTGAGCGCGTCGTTTACCAACAAACAAACAAAACAACAAACTTAGCGAGACCTTCCTCCTTTTCATTGTGACATTGTTAATTCCCTTCCGCAGAAGTTGCTACAGATCAGATTCAAGAATGTTAACCGTCAGTAGTGTCTAAAAGCCCACCCTTCAATACCCAGCAATCACCCCAACCTATCAATCAAGTCAGGGTACTGCCTATTCAGGGGCCCCGCGCCGCGAGACAGTGGAACAATGCGAGAAGAATGTCATTCTCAAACACTTGTACACTCTATGTCCTTGTCTCTGTGTACAACAATGGTATCCAGTAGTGTTCGGGCGTTTATTGACAGCCAATATCGACTTCTATATATCCTGAATTCCCTGCACTGCATAGGGACAGTGTGACGGGTTAAAGCTAACGGTAAACTAGATCACTGGCCCAGAGATAAGCCAAGACTGATTCAGCGTGTGTGTTTAAGGGAATTTACTTAATAGCTTGAGCGTGAGGTCTGCAGTATGACGGTATCTGATGTAGTGGTGTCGGTATTCATACATCTTTGATAGGCGTTTAGATGTTGAATATGCAGATATGAGTCTTATGTATGAATAACCCTTCTTGATTGTTTGTAACGTTCCGGGGTCACTGTATGTTAACTCACATACACTCAGAATATAGTCACCTGATGAAACGACCTGAAGAAGCCCCGAAGGGTCGATGCAAACAACCAATAAGTTGTAATCCATATAAAGTCCTTATTATTATTATATGCACACTGACTCGTGTCATTCGCCCTGATTCATTTGAAAGGTGTTCTCCATATTATGATGGCTGTCAGCCACGTAAGGACCTTAAGTTGCAGTGTTTCGGCGACTGTTTTCAATCAACCAACGTTCGTAAGTATATGGTCTAATCCACTTTTGAAGTGTATGCTTTCTTTTGGCGTTAATTTATATTCAGCCAAAGGTTACGGCCTAGGGAAGCCATAATTGGTTATACAGATGCCGTATTACGTCACCCCAAGAAAAGACACAACCAGAGAGGGGGCACGGGTGGCCCAGTCGTCTAAGGCGCCGCGATTCGCTGTGCACAGTTGCGCCCCTTGGGCACGCCAGAAACCTATGATTGTGGGTTCGAATCCCGGTTCGTGGAAATAGTGTTTCTAGGTTTGTCAGCACCATACCCGTGCTCGTGGGTTTCACCGAAGTGGTAAATGTCTGAGACCTGCATCACTTCTGGCTCTCCTCCCACATTAAGCTGACACGCCGTGATATAACTGGAATACTGTTAAAAGCGGCGTTAAACCCACCTTCACTCACTCACTCACTCACTCATAATTGGTTTTACAGATGCCATATTACGTCACTCCAAGACATGACACAACTAGGTGCCATATAGTTGCCAGAGAGGCCGTACCTAGTTGTAATACCAAAGTCCAGGAAATCAAACTAATCAATAGTTAAGACGATATGTCCAATGATACGTCATCCGGTGCTGTAATAAGCATACCTGACTTGTTGTTAAATTAGATAAATGACGTCAAAGATTAATTACTTATTGACATAATTGGTAGTTAAGATACATCACTATTCAAGTTCCATATAACACTTATATTAGGCCATGTAACTGGCGTGTTATTTCGTCCTTACCTTCAACCTGAGATAGGCCCAAACACTGTCACTGTGTATTCGCCATAACATAGCTACACGCGGACTCAAAGAAAACTAGCGGAATACCTTATTCTAGGTCTCCTACCTGTAATTAAAAGTATTAGGCTCACACCTGAGCATCCAGTAAAGTCCAGGTGTTCTGACTGACCCCCTCCCCCGATCTTGATAAGGGGGTGACGATATCCGACGTGATATACACGGGGTAATACGGGTATCCACAACAACGTCTCAGTGTCTACTCATGGCCGTCCTCAGAATACAGTCACTCCCACTCAGGAGGGCACTTTCAATAAGGGTGAGGCCCTCGTTCTGAGGACCTCGTTCTACAGTCCGGGTTTCATTAACGCGAGGTCGTCAATCTCATACGTCCAAATAAAGGGTATTTTTTAACACATAAAAAAGTCACGTTGAATGAATTTTAGAGGATGATGTTTTGCGGGATGGCGATAAACCCTTCCTGTTTAGAAAATGAGTGATGAAGATAAGTTATATATGTTGATATGATTCATATATTTTGAATATAGTCCAGAATGTACCATAAATGTAAGTTTAAAAAAAACTATATTAAAAAAATAATAATTTGATAGAATGTAAGTTTCTTTTGTTTTCTTTTTTTGTTGTATAAACATAAACAATGTGTGTGTATGTGTATGTATGTGTTTGTGTGTGTGTGTTTGTCTGTATGTTTGTGTATGTGCGTGCGTGCGTGCGTGTGTGTGTGTGTGTGTTTAAGTGTGTGTGTGTTTAAGTGTGTTTAAGTGTGTGTGTTTAAGTGTGTGTGTGTGTGTGTGTTTAAGTGTGTGTGTGTGTGTGTTTAAGTGTGTGTGTGTGTGTGTGTGTGTGTGTGTGTGTGTGTGTGTGTGTGTGTGTGTGTGTGTGTGTGTGTGTGTGTGTGTGTGTGTGTGTGTGTGTGTGTGTGTGTGTGTGTGTGTGTGTAGATGTGTATATACACCGAGCAATTTATGATTTCCCAAATCAAACACAATGTCTCAGTTCCACAAAAGTCTCCTCAAACAACCACTCATAATTAAATGGGCGACAAACCGTGCAGCACAGTGTCCATTAAGAACGTATTGCACGAGCACTTTAAAGAAATTTACCTCACGTCTGACGATGTTTCATGTTATTTTGCCTTCATATTCTTGGCTTTTGACCAAAAAATTACGTATGGCAAGAAGTAATTTGATCTGGCTTAGATTTTATTCAGCCAGTAAATATATGCATCATAAACATTTGACTAACAACTTCACAGTATAGCTGCTTATACCTGTATCCTGGCAACATCTAAACTACAGATTCAGACATACGAGCCAGGCATCTGGTTGCTCAGTGGAACCTTACAACAATCAGCTTAAAAAAGTCTCTGTCGATATATCTCCCGAGTGCCTGAACGTTGTCTTCGCCCAAGTCCTTATATACTGCCGGGCAAAAGAAAGATTACACTTGAATATAGGATTTGACAAAAAAATACAAACGTTATCAAACGTTACTAAGCTGAAAACATTCGCCGAAACACTGCATAGTTAAGACCCATAACACAACTTGGATACCCGTATCACTTACAGTAAACTACGGTTTTTGGTATAACGCGGCCGGGGATCGAACCCCGGATCTTCCGCTCTCCGGACAGACGTTCTACCTCTAGACCACGGAGGCGCTCTATTACAAAGACACTAACTAATACATGGTACAGAGACACTAACACGCGTTATAGTCTGTCTTATTTCTGTGCAGTATAACGAGACAAAAAAAACGGGTCCACATGTCTAAGGCTCCATAGTTCGCTGTGCAGAATTGCCTCCCTTAGTCTTGCCAGAATCCGATGCTCGCGGGTTCGAGTCCCAGTTTCGCCCTGATAATTGTTATTGTGTCAACACCATCCCCGTGTTCATGGATTTCACCAAAGTGTTAAACATCTTAGACCTCGAGTTTTCTACCCGCATCAAGGTGACACGCTGTGATATAACTGAAACACTGTTCAAAGCGGCGTAAAACTAAACTCACTCACTGTCTCTGATGTGTTTCTCGCGGTCTCTGTTAATCATGCGTTCATAAATTGGAGCCAAGTCATACTTCCAAGGCTTCTACACCAATCTGACACCGTGATGTAATTGAATTGCAGGTCAAAAGGTGTAAAACTCAACTCACTGACCAATGTATATTTGTAGTGCCCTGTATAGTATAACTCTAATATCGCCCCCTCCCGTAATAACCGATCTACAGTCGGACCGCCCTGAGAGTACCCTTATTCCTGTCACATTTCCCCGTGACGTGTTCCCCCTCTCATTGTGTATGGAGAAAGGGCAGAATTGACTGTGCTGTGTGGTCGACGAGGGAATGAGTCTGATCATGTCGAACATACCCGATCTCACTTGCTGTCAGTTTCTACCAGGCCTCGACCATAGCGTTGAGTGACTAGGTGAACTAAGTGGACATCGTGGGGGGGGGGGGGGGGGGTCGGGTAGCCTAGTGGTTAAAGCGTTCGCTCGTCACGCCGAAGACCCGGGTTCGATTCCCGACATGTGTACAATGTGTGAAGCCCATTTCTGGTGTCCCCCGCCGTGATATTGCTGGAATATTGCTAAAAGTGGCGTAAACCCATACTCATTCACTCCTTCACTCACTCACTATATGACGGCGGTCTGTAAATATACAAGTCTGGAGCAGACAATCCAGTGATTGACATCATGAGTATTGATCCACAAAATTGGGATACGATGACATTCATCAACCACGTCAACGAGCCCGACCGTCCGATCCCTTTAGTCGCCTCTTACAAAAAGCATGGGTTGCTGAAGACCTATTCCAACCCGGATCTTCGCTAGTGTTATGTAGAATAGAGATGTCAGTTTTCCGAATGCAGATTACGTTCACCGAACTTGAACAGATGTGAGTTTTACAAATACAGATGTAAGTTTTACAAATACAGATATAAGTTTTACAGATATAGATGTAAGTTTACGAATACAGATGTGGTATTTACGAATACAGATGTGAGGTTTTCAAATACAAATGTATGTTTTACGTATACAGATGTGAGTGTTACGGATACAGATATGTATTACGACTACAGAAGTGAATTTTACGTATACAGATGTGAGTTTTACGAATACAAGTGTAAGTTTTACGAATACAGAAGTAAAGTTTACGAATAGCAGTAGTAATAGAAGTAGCAGCAATAGTAGTAGTAGTAGTAGTAGTAGTAATAGTAGTAGTAGTAGTAGTAGCAGCAGTAGTAGCAGTAGTAGCAGCAGATTCATTTACATAACGTGCTGATATGTGTCATAGGAACCATTCTCTTCCATACCCAGTTTCTAAATGAAACAGTCGTTGTGTCATCTCTTAAATAGGAGGGGGTCAGGGGTCAGCAAGTTATTGATCTCATACATTCAATACATTTGCACGCCGTGCAATAGGCGTTCTGTACTTCCATACGTCAGGGAGACGTTTACACGGACCGGCGTTTGCTGTACAGAACTGCCGAATAGAAGAAATCTACCGCACTCGGATATAGTTTGTAATTATCATTATGTGATTAAAGGTTGGCGCAACATAATTATAAGAAGTGACGCAATCGATACGAACTCGTGAATACCTAAACTTGAACTATGTCAATCATGTATTTGAGGACAGAAACACGCATGTAATTATGTCCACAAAACACAAATGTTTTCGGTAATACACTCTTCCCAAAAGAGTGAACATAGGAGTCAAATGCTTATTTTATGTTGTCATCATAATTATAGCTTGCTATACTAATATACGATACGCTGGGCTCCGGCTCTTCATATAATATGTATTGTTGACGATGCGTTGAGGGTGCCCGGAACCAGTTTATAAATAATCCAACATTTTGGCTGTTAATGTCAGTTCATGTGTGTCGACATCTAAATGCAAGAAGATAGTAGTCGACATATGAAAGCAAGAAGGTAATATCTGACAGGGATACAAGACGATAATAGTCGACATAGGAAAGCAAGAAGGTAATATTTTACAGGGAAACAAGACGATAATAGTCGACATATGAAAGCAAGAAGGTAATATTTGACAGGGATACAAGACGATAATAGTCGACATATGAAAGCAAGAAGGTAATATTTGACAGGGAAACAAAAAGATAATAGTCGGCACATGAATGCAAGATGGTCACAGTCGACATATGAATACATAATGGTAATAGTCGACATATGAATGTTAGATTGTAACAGTCGACATATGGATACAAGAAGGTAACAGTCGATATATGGATAGACTATTCTAGTATTCGACATATAGATACATGACAGTAGTAGTCGACATTTGAATAAAAGATGGTAATAGTCGACATATAAATACGAGATGGTGTTCATTGACATACAAGTATGAATTCGTTATGATAACAGTTAATATATGAATAAAGAATGCTATCAGTTGAGCTGTAAGTTAGGCTTATGGGTATGAAACCCTTTACATTCATTGTAATGGTCTCCGCGGACTGAAACAATATTTTTGTGGACCGGGACCCGTGTCTAATGTAAGGGAGATAACTCGTGACATCACGTGCCTCGCTCAGCACTCTTGTTCTCCACGAGTGAAAACAGCATCGGACAATTCTGGTGTTTGATAAGTTTACACCTTGGCTCACGAAAGTTATGTGATCTAGTGCACCCTAATAATTACTCGTTATTCTGACAGTACGGCTCTTCACCTGTGGCACTAACTACATCTTCTGAATCATGCGCCAGGGCGGTATGGTAGCCTGGTGGTCAAAGCGTTCGTTCGTTCACGCCGAAAATCCGGGTTCGAATTCCCACATGGGTACAATGTGTGAAGCCCATTTCTAGTGTCCCTCGTCGTGATATAGCTGGAATAGTGCTGAAGACGGCGTAAAACCGCTGTAATAACATGAAAGGCGTCGTTTCGTCTGATAATGAGGAGCCACGGGTGGCCCAGTCGTCTAAGGCGCCGCGATTCGCTGTGCAGAGTTGCGTCCCTTGGGCACGCCAGAAACCTATGATTGTGAACTATTAATCACAATATAGATCTGATTATCGATCACATCGTCCTGATTGGGCGCCCCCATTTTTTGTGAAGCAAACGCAAGTGATACGAGAGGTGTAATCTGATTGGTCCATAGGAGAGGCTTAGAAGGGACATTACTGGTAATAGCCACTGGTGGCGCTACGATCGAACCCAGTAATTCCAGCCTAGTTCGGCAAGGGTGGAAACTGGACTTTTAAAGTCAGTTAACTCTCTTGCCTCGGGGGGATGATGTGT